GGACAAATGTCATATGTTCTCCCTGATCGGTGACAACTAACCGAGCACCAAAAAGGAAACTTGTTGAAGCGAAATGAACACTGTGAGAAACAATGACTTGATCAGCCCTTGCCCTGACTGTTGATGAACAACTTAATACGTTATCCCTCTTAGTATTTTTTTTTCTACTTAATCCTATTGGTTGAATTATGTAATTAATACACAGTTATTCTTAGGTGTTGAAACTTAACTGAAAAGTGATCCCTGTTAAATATAAGAGTGGGAATAAGAGAGGGAAGAGATGTACAATTTGGGACATGCTCAATAGGACTTGCCCCAAACGACAGAGTTAGAAACATACCAGGGGACTCCAATTCAGTCCCATCAAGGTGGTTTGTACCAGTGCCATCTCACTAGTCCAAGTGATCAATTTTTGTTCACAATTGATCATAACGATAGGACTAACAGTCAAAGGGATCACATAAACAAGACTAGTGTCTGCAAATACTAACCAATAGAATAAAAAAGGGAGAGAACGATCCAACATGGGAAGCGGGATACACAGCAGACTCATAGAATGGCAGATGTCCTAAACAGCACTCTAGCCTCAGAATCAGCCCTTAAGGCACGCGGATCCGGCTGAAAAGCCCATGAGACTATTTCAGGCATGGAAAGCCAAGACACTCTGGCAAAAAAAAAAAAAAAAAACCACCTAAATGAAAGATCTCCGCGAGTGAGATCCCAGTGGAAAGAACGGGTCATCAAAGAAGGAGGTACCTTTCTCTGAAGGGAGGAGAGAACTTCCACTTTGACTACGACCTTGTCTAAATATGGTCAGAGTCGGAGAACTCAAAAGGCTTCCATAGCCTTGGCAACTCATGACTAGAGCCTAGGGGGATTACTGATGCCATAAACAAGAGTGTCAATTTGTTAAGTCAACAACAGGAGTCACTGTGCACTTACTCCTCATGTAGGATCTCTGTCCTTAATGTGCTGTACATTGTGATTTAATGCTATAACTAGTACTCAAACAGTATTTTTCACTTTGTGTTTCTATGGGGGTGCAAACTGTTGAAATCTTTACTTAATATATGCTAAACTGATCTTCTGTATATAAAGAGAATTGAAAATGAATCTTGATGTGAATGGAAGGGGAGAGGGAAAGGGAAAGGGGAGGGTTGCGGGTGGGAGGGAAGGTATCAGGGGGAAGCCATTGTAATCAATAATCTGTACTTTGGAAATTTATATTCATTAAATAAAAGTTAAAAAAAACTTTAAAAAATATATATGTCTAAGTATTTTAAATATAATTTATCACTATCCTACATATAAGTAACATATTCTTCATTCAAATTCATTACTGAACACCATGTTATCACCAATTTACTGATTAAATCATTCAAATGATATTTACTGGTTCTTGGCAATGTGACTAAGTAGATCACAATAAGGCCCTTTAGGGCTAGTGCTGTGGCACAGCGGGTAAAGCTACCACCTGCAGTGCTGCCATCCCACATGGGAGCCAGTTCATGTCCCAGCTGCTCCACTTCTGATGTAGTTCCCTTCTAATGGCCTGGGAAAGCAGCAGAAGATGCCCCAAGTGTTTAGGCCCCTGCACCCACATGGGACACTCCTGGCTTTGACCTGGCCCAGCCAGGCCCATTATGGCCACCTACGGAGTGAACCAGCAAATGGAACATTCTCTCTCTCTGCTTTTGTCTCTTCCTCTCTGTAATTCTTCCTTTCAAATAAATAATTCTAAAAAAAAAAAAATAAAAAATAAAAAAACAGCCCTTTTCCTTTAGTTTTAAGAAAACAGTGTCATTGGCTGGCGCCACGGTTCAATAGGCTAATCATCCGCCTGCGGCGCTGGCACACCAGGTTCTAGTCCCGGTCAGGGCGCCGGATTCTGTCCCGGTTACTCCTCTTCCAGTCCAGCTCTCTGCTGTGGCCCGGGAGGGCAGTGGAGGATGGCCCAAGTGCTTGGGCCCTGCACCCGCATGGGAGACCAGGAGAAGCACCTGGCTCCTGAATTCAGATCAGTGCGGTGCGCCAGACGCAGTGCGCCAGATACAGTGCGCCAGCCGCAGCGGCCATTGCGGGGTGAACCAACAGCAAAGGAAGACCTTTCTCTCTGTCTCTCTCTCTCTCACTGTCCACTCTGCCTGTCAAAAAAAAAAAAAAAAAAACCCAGAAAATAGTGTCATTAAATACTGTCAAAATGGAAAAAGAAGCTGAGTGAGTGGCCACTAGCCCTTGAAATTATAAATTTAAAAATTCAGTCTTATCATTTCCACCGTAATATGACCAGACTCTCAAAGATTCATTTAAGCTAATCAAACTCAAAATATAATTTAATATCAACTCATTGATATACCATGAGAAGATATCATTGTTGGAATATCTGTATCCGTTAACTATGAAACCCTTTACCCTATATCAATGTATCAACAATAAATTCAGTAATTTGAACATGCTTTTTTTCTCCTCTAGTGCTAGTCACAACTGTGTCTCTTACACATAGTGTTGTATAAACACTGTCAAATTCTTATTCTTTGGATAGTCTTTATATTCAATGCAGGTAACTCCTTTTGTTTTAACAATATGTATGATTACCTAATAAATATGTCAGATGTTGCATTTTTGTTTTAAATTCTGGATTTATACATCTTTTATAATTGATTATAACTACAAATGAATAGTCTTAGCTTTTATATATTAACATTTGACTGGGCTTGATTTCAGAAAGTGACTCCTTGTTGACTTTGGCCCCAATCCCTGAGGAAAAAAGAACTATCATAATGGGCAAGGTAGAATGGAATGTTACATTCCTGTCATGGTTCTACACCAAATAAACCAAAAGTAAAACCAAAGTATACCAACAAAGATATAACTGACAGGTAAGTATTTGCTTTAAAAGTCCATAAAGATCTTGTAAGGTGGGAGGGTGAAAAAGCTCCAGCTCCAAAGCCAGACACTAAGAAGAAATCTCCAGCCAAGAAGGCAGATAATGCAAAGCTAAAAAAAAAAAAAAAAAAAAAAAAAAAAACACTCAAGGATAAGGAGACAAAGAAAGGGAAGCCCCACTGCACCAAAACCTGTCCTGGTGAGAGAGACTGGCAGATACTCCCGGTCAGCCATGTATCCCAGGAAAGCCCTATATAAGAGGAAGCACATGGCTTCCAAATTCAGGATTGAAAAGAAGGAGAAGGTTCTTGCTAGTATCACAAAAGCAGCTGGTGGTAACAAGCATGGTGGCAGCAAGGTCATTAAGTTTGGCAAAATGCCTCAACACTGTCCCACCGAAGATATCCCACGAAAGCAGTTGAGCCACAGCAAAAAGCCCCTCAGTCATCACAGGAGGAAACTGTGGGCCAGCATCGCCACTTGGGTCATTCTCCTCATCCTCACTGGGTGTCACAGGGGAGAGCAGGGTTTTCCTGAAGCAGCTTTCCTGGTTTGCTGCTTGTGACTGGACCTCTTTCCCTCAATTGGATTCCTCTAAATAGAACACACCAAAAATCTGTCATTGCCACATCCACAAAAATTGAAATAAGCAGTGTGAAAATCCCAAAACATCTCGCTGATGCATATTTTCAAAAACAGCAGCTGTAGAAGCCCAGATACCAGGAAAGAGAGGTCTTCAACACAGAGAAAGAGAAATACAAGTTAACAGAGCAGCACAAGACTGATCAGAAAGCTGTGGATTCACAAATATTGCCAAAAATCCAGGCTGCTCCTCAGCTCCAAGGCTACCTGCAATCTGTTTTTGCTCTAACAAATGGCATTCACCGTCACAAACTGGTGTTCTGAATTACATAGGACAATCTCATAGGTGTTATTAGTAACACCTAAAACAATAAAAGTCCATAAAATAGTTTTTAAAATATGGAAAAATTGTATACAGCTTTAGAAAATATTCCAGTAGGCTGTAAAACATATATTCATACAAAGCACAAAAAATATTTTATTGCATATAAAATGAATAAACCAGCTGTATAAATATTAAACACTGAGCTGATAATAACATGGCTAATCCTTTTAAAATTTGAGAGGAGAGCTCTTGTGTAATTCATCTGAATAGTCACCTTTAAAAGAATATTCGATGGACTCTGAACTTGTATCTTATTTTTTTATGCATTTGTAGAGATATTAAAGATCATTTGACCAATCCCAGAAATAGATTCATGTCTTTCAAAGACAAATGTTTCAGCACATAAAGCACTGAGAATACAAAATGTCAAACCTAAAAGGTTCTTGGTTCTGGCATCTTCCCTCCCCACCTACAATGACTTAGTTTGCTATTCTTTGCCATCATCCCCAACAATAGGGAGGGGAATCAGTCATGAAGAGTGACTTTAGATTTGCAGAAGGGAAGATGATGAAGGATGATACCATTCCTATGCTTGGTGATGGACAGATTCCCCAGCATTTTTAAACTAAAGACATCAAAGCATTTCAAAATTTCATCTTGGTATCTCCCTGACTAATCTCCTAAAGCCAGCAGTTTGGGATGCTACAAGAAAAGACAGAAGAAATAAGTGAAAGCTTTGAAAATAAGAAGATAAAGTGTTTATTACAGCACAGCAACAGTTTTAATTAGATCATGTGGAGGGAAATGGGCACACATTAAGCATTAAAAAGTAAGGACCAGCACTGTGGCATAACCAGTTACACCTCCACCTGCAATGCTGGCATCCCATATCAGAGTCCCAGTTCTAGTCCCAGCTGCTCTGCTTCCAATCCAGCCCCCTGCTAATGTGCCTGGGAAGCAGCAGAATAGTACAGGTACTTGGGCCTCTGCCACTCACACGAGAGGCCCGAATGGAGTTACAGGCTCCTGGCCATTGTAGTCATTTGGGGAGTGAACCAGAAGATGGAAGATCTTTGTCTCTCTGTTTCTCTCTCTTTCTCTGACACTTAACCTTTCAAATAAATAAAATGAATCTTAAAATTAATATCACCTTCATGTTCCCTGCACGTCATGCTGCATTAACAAATAAGCTTACTTCTGAACTTACTTTTACCCAGTGCCATTCGGCAACTCTCTCCACAGACCAAAAAGGATAGAGCTCTTCCTTTACAAACCGTAGATGCTTCTGTCTGTTGGTCACCCAAGTAACAACAAGACAGTTTGGAGCAGCCAGTTCAGGGACAGGTATTTGCTTTATTTCTTGTGGTGATAAATAACTATATCTAAAAGTGAACAGGAAAAAAATGAGCAAAATTTACTGTAAAGAAAAAAAAAGGCAAGGAAGTCACACCCCAAATGCAATACTCCCAGTTATTTGTGTAGCTAAATACGAAGCCACAGTGACACCCAGTGGACACATTATTATACACATCAGCAATAACTTCATTTTTCATTTTTTCCATTTTAAAATCATCAGACTGTATTTTTTAAATCGTTGTCTTAATGCACTACCACTCAATAATATTACTATTTATGATGCATTTTTCTCTCATTCAAAATTAAGTAAACACTGTTTAGATACCATAATCTGTATGGTATACAGGAACACTATCACAGTAAGTCTTTTAACTAGTGTTTCAATAACCCAGACCAAATTCTACAGACACAGTTGCCTGACACCAACTATTGTGAAATTGGTAACTCTAAAGCCAATTTATTTCAATAAAGTTTCTCATTCCCCTAGTATTCTCAAATCCTGCACAAAATGCTGACCCCTCTCATCATCCATTATCTCACCCACAAACTATCAACCTCCTTCTTTCTTTCTTCCCAATCCTCTGATGTCCGTACACTTTCATTTTTAAAAATTCTAGCTTGTACGTCCTTGCCACTAATCATTATGAAGTCTAATTTATCTTGCTAGAATACTATTTACTCTACAGTACCCAAAGAAATATGACTCCTCCTTCAACACTCAACACATACAAGGTCAGTATTCTCCTAGCTCCCTATTGCTGATTCTAGGCTTTAACTCATCCACCTTTGCATAAAATCCCCTTCTCTGAGAGGTATGCTATTCAGCAATGCTAATCTCTAATGTTCCCTGGTGAACTCATTCTCCATACTAAAAGAGGACTTAAGCTCTGAGATGCCTCTACCTCACTATCACAAATCTTGCCATTATCCTGGGCAATTTCAAAGCACAATTCATACAATGTATATAACTTAATTATTTTTCACCTTAAAAAAAATACAATTGCATTCACTCTACTTCAATAATCCATTCCAATGCCATAACCTAGACCTTAACATCGCTCACACTTGCTCCATCTCTGAAACCATAAACATTAATACCTGGCTGTAACATTCTAGGCCTCACCTATTCTTTGACCTTATCAAAGCTGGTGCCCATCCCTTCACCTTACAGAGTCTTCCTGAGCCACACTTATCCCTCCTCCCCATAGACTACCAGTCATTAATTGTCTTCTAGCTAGCATCATCTCCGATTCCCCTCTCTACCTTTCAGATTCACAGTTCCTGCAAACCTCCAATCTTAAATCAATGCCACAATTTAATTCAACTTCTTCATGCAACGAAATCTGGTATAGAAAGTGCAGAACAGAGCAATTGGGCCATTAAAATTAAATTCATCCTCTGGCTCTTAAAACTATTTATGAGTCATTTTATTTATCCATGGCCAAATACTATAAACCCTACTACTTCTCAGGTCCTTTGTCCAACCACACTCTATTCAGATGAAGTAAACTCATAGATCAGTAAAAATAAAGGACACTGGGCTCCTTGAGCTACCCAGTCCTCTAGTTCCTCCGGTTTCTGTACATTTTCTCTTAAAAGATTTAAGAGCACGACTTCACCTATTAAAGCCTATCTCTCTAGCTATGTTATCTCATCCCCATATTCTGACATCATGTAACACCATTGTTTCCTCTCCTTTATTTTTATTTATTTATTTATTTGAGAAGCATAGAGACAAAGAGAGAGCACTCCCCTCCATAGTTTGCTCCCCACATGCCCACAGTAGTTGGGTCTGGGCCAGGCTGAAGTCAAGAGCTGCAAACTCAATCCAGGTCTCCTATGAAGGTGGCAGGAATCCAATGACTTGAGTCATCAATTGCTGCCTTCCAAGGTGTCCGTTAGCAGGAAACTAAAATCACGTACAGAGCCAAGACTTGAACCCAGGTACTCTAATATAGGAGGCAAGGAACTGAACCAGCATCTTAAGCATGAAATAAATGCCTACCCCAATGTATTTTCAACCTCTCTAGTAGTTCTTCACCATCAGCCCATAAACATGTTTACATTATGCCATTTTCAAAAAGAAACAGGACAGAGGGTAGAAGTAGTGAGGAAGAGGAAGAAAGTAAAAGAGAAGAAAAGGGAAGGAAGAAGAGAGGAGAATGGGAAGAATGGAAGGGATGGGAGCATAGAGAGAGAAAAAAAGTCCACAAGTAAGCTAAGGACTGGTATGCCCTTAGCCTTTCTACTTTCACTTTACGCCTCAGTTGAGTCCAGTAAGGATTCTACCACTATACCTGCTCTGAAAAAAGTACATGATCATAGGGGCCAGCGTTACAGCGTAACAGGTTAGGCCTCCACCTGTGACACCAGCATACCATATGGGTGCCGGTTCGAGTCCCAGCTGCTCTACTTCCAATCCAGCTCCCTGCTAATGCACATGAGAAAGCAGCAAAAGATGGTCCAAGTGTTTGGGGCTCTGAATCCATGCAGAAGACCTGGAAGAAGCTCCAGGCTCTTAGCTTCATTCTGGCCCAGCCCCAGCCGTTGTGAACATTTGGGAAGTGATCCAGTGGATTGAACACGTCTCTCTCTCTCTCTCTCTGCCTTTCTAATAAATAAAATAAATCTTTTAAAAAAAGAAAAATAATTCAATCCCATCGAGGTGGCATGTACCAATGCCATCTCACTGTTCCAGGTGATCAATTTCAGTTCACAGTTGGTCATGGTGGAGGGACTGGGAGTCAAAGGGAGCACATAGACAAGTCTAGTACCTGCTAACGCTAACCGATGGAGTAAATAAAGGGGAGAGTGATCCAACATGGGAAGTGAGATACTCAGCAGACTCATAGAATGGCAGATGTCCTAAGTAGCACTCTGGCCTCAGAATCAGCCCTGAGGGCATTCGGATCTGGCTGAAAGGCCCATGAGAGTGTTTCAGGCATGGAAAGCCAAGACACTCTGGCAAAAGATCTCTGTGAGTGAGATCCCAGTGGAAAAACAGGTCATCAGGGAGGGGGGTGCCTTTCTCTGAAGGGAGGAGAGAACCTCCACTTTGACTATGACCTTGTCTAAACAAGATAAGAGTCGGAGAACTCGGAGGGCTTCCATAGCCTTGGAAACTCATGACTGGAGCAGAGGGGGATTGCTGATGCCATAGACAGGAGTGTCAATTGGTAAAGTCAACAACAGGAGTCACTGTGCACTTACTCCTCATGTAGGATCTCTGTCCTTAATGTGCTGTGCATTGAGATTTAGTGCTATAACGAGTACTCAAACAATATATTTCACTTTGTGTTTCTATGGGGGTGCAAACTGTTGAAATCCTTACTTAATGCATACTAAACTGATCCTCTGTTTAAAATAGAGAAACAAAACAAAAAAAAAAAAATTTATCAATTCCCAACTTGACTCTCACTGGGATTAAACATGACAATAGGTCTGCTCTGATTTCATCATCATTTAAAAAAAATCATCTATTATTTTTCACTTTATGTTTCTGTGTGGGAGCAAACTGTTGAAATCTTTACTTAATGTATACTAAGCTGATCTTCTGTATATTAAGATAATCGAAAATGAATCTTGATGTGAATGGAAGGGGAGAGGGAGTGGGAAAGGGGAGGGTTGTGGGTGGGAGGGACGGTATGGGGGGGAAGCCATTGTAATCCATAAGCCGTACTTTGGAAATTTATATTCATTAAATAAAAGTTTTTAAAAAAATGAAATTAACTTAAAAAAAAAAGAAAAAGAAAAATAAAGTATGCAACTTTTACTTAATCTTAAAAGAAATATAGGTATACATTCTTGTGATCATGGTTTTGGCAAAGATTTCTTATATATAATACCAAAAGCATATGTAACAAAAGAAAAAAAATAGTTAATTTAGACAATATAAAAATTTAAAACTCCATGCTTCAGATAAAAAGAAACTGAAAAGGGGCCAGCACTATAGCACAGCAGGTAAAGCTGCCACCTACAGAGCCAGCATCCCATATGGGTGCAGGTTGGAGTCCCAGCTGCTCTACTTCTGATCTAGCTCCTGCCAAAAGCAACAGCAGAAGGCCCAAATCCTTGGGCCGCTGCCACCCATGTGGGTGACTCGGAGAAAGCTCCTGGGTCCTGGCTTCAGCCTGGCCCAGGCCTGGCCATTGTGGCTATCTGAGAAGTGAATCAGGGGAGGGAAGATCTCTCTTTCTGTCTCCTCTCTCTCTTTTCTTTCTTTCTCTCTCTCTCTCTCTCTCTCTCTCTCTGTGTGTGTGTGTGTGTGTGTTTAACTCTGCCTTTAAAATAAATAAATCTTTAATAAAAAATGAAGTGATTCTAATAACTAAATGAACTTATCACTCTGACAGCTGATACAAACTAGAAAGTGTCATATATTAAAAATAAAAAAAAATTAAGAATGAGTTAGACAACTTTCATATAAGGTCATGAAGGACAGAAATATTTCTTTTTTTAAAAAGATTTATTTTATTTATTTGAAATACAGAGTTACAGAGAGAGGTACAGAGAAAGAGTCTTCCATCCGCTGGTCCCCAGATGGCCACAACGCCTGAAGCTGCGCCGATTCAAAGCCAGGAGCCAGGAGCTTCTTCCAGGTCTCCCATATGGGTGCAGGGGCCCAAGGACTTAGGCCATCTTCTACTGCTTTCCCAGGCCATGGAAGAGAGCTGGATGAGAAGAGGAACAGCTGGGACTAGAACCGGCACCCACAGGGGATACTGGTGCTTCAGACCAGGGCTTTAACCCATTGCGCCACAGCACCAACCCCGGGATAGAAATATTTCTAAACTTTAGAATTTGATATTTAAAAAGGCAAAAATATCACTCATTGGTGTTACTGAAACAATCTCAATGGTTCAGGCAATAGCCTTGGCAAACAATAGCCTTGGCAATTAATAAACATGCTTCTTGACATTCTTACACCCACTTATAGCTGTAGTCCAAGAGAATTATCTAGGAGCCAGGAACCAAGAGGGTGACTGAGTAAGAAGCTCCAGCTCCCACATCCCCACAGAAACACCAATTTGAACAACTAGTTAACATTTAATCACCCCTGCAAGAGCTACAGAAGCCATATAAGTGACCATGGTGCCTCAATTTTGAATAATAAGAAAACTCACATAGAAGAAAGCAAAGTTGTACCTCAGAGCCAGCACTGTGGCGTAGCAGGTAAAGCCACTGCCTGTGGCACCAGCAACACATATGGATGCTGGTTCAAATCCCAGCTGCTCCACTTAAGATCTAGCTCGCTGTTAATGTGCCTACATGCATGAATGAAACTAGACCCCTATTTTGCACTACGTATAAAAATCAAACTCAAAATGGATTAAAGACCTAAATATAACAGCTGAAACTCTGAAGCAACTAGAAGAAAACACAGAGAAAATACTTGAGGCGTTGGAATGGGCAAAGATTTTCTGGATCAGACCCCAAAAGTACAGAAAACAAAAGCAAAAATAAGACCAGTGGGATTTCATCAAAATAAAGAGCCTCTGCACAGCAAATGAAACAATCAACAGAGTGAAGAGACAACTTACCAGAATGGGAGAAAATATTTGCAAGTTATATATTTGACAAGGAGTTAATATCCCTAATACACAAGGAACTCAAACAACTCATCAGCAAAAAGGCAACTAATCCGATTTAAAAATGGACGAATAGTTCTAAACAAATGTTTCTTAAAAGATACACAAATGACCAGGAGGTACACCAAAAAATGCTCAACACCACCAATCAGCAGGGAAATGCAAATCAAAGCTAAAATGAGATATCTCTCTAGTTACATTTTTTAATAAAAAAATTATTGGGGCTGGTACCATGGCACAGCAGGTTAAGCTACCACCTGTGGCACTGGCATTCCATATGGGCACCAATTTGAGTCTGGCTGCTCCACTTCTGACCCAGCTCCCTGCTAATATCCAGGAAAGCACCAGAAGATGGACTAAATGCGTGGGCCCCTGCACCCACATTAGAGACCCAGATAAAGCTCCTGGCTCCTGGCTTCAACCTGGCACAGCCCTGGCTGTTGTGGCCATTTGGGAAGTGAAACAGTGAATGTAAGATCTCTCTTGTCTCCCTGTAACTCTGCCTTTCAAATAAGTAACTAAATCTTTAAAAAATAAAAAAAATTTAAAATTATTAAAAAGGAGAGAATTATCTAAGGAATTTAAAACATAACTATTTAAAACAGTTGAATACTTTCAAATAACTTACATCATAAAGTAATGTTTACAATGTATTCAACTAGAACACACAAAAAAGGACTATAGTTTTTAAAAAGCTTATCTAATAGATAATTCATTCCACTTACTTGTGACTTCTTTTAACTGACTTGTTTTGCCATGGTGGATCTATCACAATGACATCAAATGTTTTCCTACCTGAAAACAAAGATACAATTCAGAAAATACCGTCTATATACACTTTAATTTTTTTAAAGATTTATTTATTTATTTGAGAGACAGTTATAGACAGAGAGAGGGAGAGGTCAAGAGAGCAAGGTCTTCCATTTGCTGGTTATTACCCAAATGGCTGCCATGGCCAGAGCTGGGCTGATCCGAAGCCAGGAGTCAGAAGCTTCTTCCGGGTCTCTCATGCTGGTGGCAGGGGCCTAAGCACTTGGGCCATTTTCCACTGCTTTCCCAGGCTATAGCAGAGAGCTGGATTGGAAGCGGAATAGCTGGGACTTGAACCAGTGCCCATACGAGAGGCTGGCACTGGCAGGCAGATACCTAGCCCTCACTGCATCACAGCACCAGCCCCTATAAAATCACTTTAAAAACTAAACACATGGAACTAGCATTGTGGCACAGCAGGTTAAGCCACTGCTTGCAATGCAGCACCTTATACTGGAATCCTAGCTACTCCATTTCCAATCCAGACTCCTGCTAATGCACCTGGGAAGGCAATAGAACATGACCCAAATGCTTGGGCCCCTGCCACCCTGGTCTCTAGCTTATGCCTAGCCCAGCCTCAGCCATTTGGGGAGTGAACCAGTGGATGGAAGATAGATAGATAGATAGATAGATAGATAGATAGATAGATCTCTCTCTCTCTCTCTCTTGCTCTCGCTCTCTTGTGTCACTCTTTCAAATAAATGTATCTTTAAAAACAGAACTTTTCCCATGTAAACAAACTATATGCTTCGGATGATGCTGTGTCAGTGTAAATTCGTGAGAGTAAACAATGTACCATCAGGACATTGACATTAGGGGAGGCCATGCACCTGTGGGGACAGGATAGATATGGGAACTCTGTACTTTCTGGTTCATTGCTGCTGTGAAACTAAAGCTGCTCTTAGAAATAAAGTCTAGTTTTAAAAAGAAAAAAAAATAAACTCTTCCCTACCATTTCCTTTTAAATACTGTAGTGGCTATAATTTGTTAAAAATATATAAATGATGGCCGGCGCTGTGGCTCAATAGGCTAATCCTCCACCTGCAGCGCCAGCACACCGGGTTCTAGTCCCAGTCGGGGCACCGGATTCTGTCCCGGTTGCCCCTCTTCCAGGCCAGCTCTCTGCTATGGCCCGGGAGTGCAGTGGAGGATGGCCCAAGTCCTTGGGCCCTGCACCCGCATGGGAGACCAGGAGAAGCACCTGGCTCCTGGCTTCGGATCAACGTGATGCACCGGTCGCAGTGGCCATTGGAGGTTGAACCAACAGCAAAGGAAGACCTTTCTCTCTGTCTCTCTCTCTCACTGTCCACTCTGCTTGTCAAAAAAAATAAATAAATAAATATATATATATATATGGCTAACAGTTTGATTATATCATTTAATCTCCAAACAGAAGTAGGTATTATAATATCTATTTTACAGATTAGAAAACTAAGGCTCAGTTTTAGGAGGCAAAGAGCATTACCACCCAGTTAATAGAGCTTCAGTATCTAAATTCAAATGCAAATCTGTATGACTATGGACTTCTATATTTAAATGTTTTGATTTTGTACAGAAAAATATTTCAAAAAATTTTACACAATAAACTTGAACAATGGCTTAGCATGTAACCTAAAAGTGTAGGTATGATCCAGGAATTTATACTCCTAACTGAAATGTTTTCACTTTGCTACAAAAAAAAGTTAAATAAAGTCACTTGATTAAACACAACTAATTTCTGAATTCCAAAGTACAGATAATTAACTGTTTTTGTTCTCTTGGGGACTAATTTCTTGACATTTTATTCATAATAAGAACTTAAATTATTTTTAAAAATCAAAAGTCAGACCTTTAAAATTGAACTTAAAAGAAAATTTTCACTGGAAAGTATTTCTCCTCCTCTCATAAATGTTGACCTTTATTCAAAATTCAGACTATGTATTTTGAGGCTGCAGAAAAACATGTTATAATAATAAGCATAATTACTTACAGTTCAGAAGTGGTTTCATATAAGAAATGTCAGACAAAAGAAAACTACTTTTTGGTGGCAGCAAGTACTTCTGTCCCATTAAAGTAATCATTCTTGTAAATCTAGAGCTGTTTTCAACAAGCCGTGAAAATAAATCCTTCTCTGTAACAGACATGTCATCATCTATCAATTGTAACATCTGAAGTTCAGTTTCACTGAATGAAGGCAAATTCTTTGCCATTGCACATAGTCCTGACAAACTGCAAGTATCAAGTGGCAAAGTGACAGGCTCACTATACTTGTCCTGATTTTCAGATAGTGGATGAAGAAAACCACTTTTGAGACCCTCTTGGATTAACTGTAAAGATCCATCCAAAATCAGCTCCCTGATCTGTAAGAAAAAAAAATTAAGTACATTAAAAGGACACTGATGATCAAAGAATTTTCTAAGTAACAAAATTCCTACTGTGCTTGGAATACTTGAATTTACAGATTAAAATCAACATTCTTAATGCTTACAGTAAAACAATTCTGTAACATAACACAACAAAAAGACTTTGAATGTAGAATGAAAAAACTCATAAATTCACTGACAATGAAATAACTAACTAGTAAACATAAGAAAATATATCTTTTCGCTAAAGATATCCAAATTGCCAACAAGCACATAAAAAGACCCCAATATCACTAATCATTAGATGAATGTTTATAAAAACCACAATAAGATACCATTTCCATTTGCTGGGATGGCTATTACCAAAAAAAAAAAAAAAAAACAAAAAAAAAAACTAGAAAATAAGTGCTGGCAAGGATGTGGAGCAACTGGAACTCTTGTGTATAGCATGCTGGTGGGAATGTGAAATGGTACAGCCATTATGTAAAACAGTTTAGTATTTCTTCAAAAAGTTAATATAGCTACTATATTATCTAGCAGTTCCACTTCTGGATATATACCCAAAAGAAGTAAAAGCAGAGTGTACTAGTCAGCTTTCCACTACTACAAATAAAATAGGAGACAGCTAACTTATAAAGAAAAAAGACTTATTTAGTTCAGTTTTGAGGTTTAAGCCCATTTAAGCCTTCACATTAAGGAAAATAATAATAATGAAACCTGCACATTACTCATGCTTTCTTCTGTTACCATTACCATCTTTTTTTTTTTTTTAAGATTTATTTATTCATTTGAAAGGTAGAGTTGCAGAGAGGCAGAAACAGAGAGAAATCTTCCATCCACTGGTTCACTCCCCAAGTGGCTGCAATAGCCAGGACTGGGCCAAGCTGAAGCCAGGAACATCACACAGGCCTCCCACATGAGTGGCAGGAGCCCAAGTACTTGGGCCAACTTCCACTTCTTTCTCGGGCACATTAACAGGGAGCTGAAGAAGTGGAACAGCCAGAATCTGAAATAGTGCTCATAAAGGATGCCGGCATTGCAAGCGGTGGCTTAACCCACTGCACCATAATGATAGTCCTATGCCACCATCTTACTATATATTATCTATGGACAATGAGCTTTATAACTTCCAAAATCTCTAGTCAATATAGCATAAATTTAAATTTGTTAAATATTCAAACTAACGGATATTTATGAAGTTTCAATAAAAATTGATTTAAACTATTCAATACTATAAAAGTAACAGATCACTATTAAATTCTAGCCCTGATCAAAATGCTTGATTTTGAAGAACATCCTTACTCATGTAATATATTTATTTTATACTAATTTGCATTAATCTTCCAATGTGGTCAAAAAACATTTTACACCTACCTTTGTATGGTATTCCATAGCATCCAATTCACCTTGATTGAAAGTAACACATCTTTTGCGCTTCTAAAGGGTAGATAAATTACAGGGGGAACAGTTATGTTACCATCTATCACAATATTGATATTTTAAAATGTAATATCTTATCACTTTTTTCATATTATATTCTAAAGTTTTCAAGAGGTAATAATTATATAATTGAGGTCAAAATCAATACAAAGGGTATAGATCAAGGAGGTAGTGTTTCCAAAGTAAAAATAAATAAAATAAAATAAAAACAAAATGGGTGATAGAAAGTAGCCTCAGCCTTAACTGCTATTAACAAAAAGTAGTTCCACACAATAAAATACAGCACTAGCACCCATGGGATAAAAGGAAACTGTGATAGTGCATGAACAATTACCAGTGTCACTTATCAGATACTCCAAAAAGGAAAATGAAATTAAAAGATAGGTTTATTTTGGTGAAAAAAAAATTTTGAAATCCACTTAGAAGATGGTTCTTCAAAAAGTTCATGGAAAGCATGCATTATGAAAAACCTATGTATGGGTTTGAAAATTTTTTGCATCAAATTTACCTTTTAAGTACATCTTTCCAGAAACTTTTTGAAGTAGCCTCATATATGGTATAATTACTCTCAACTTTCTTCATTCTGAGGAGACAAACTATACATGTGCTATTATTAAAAGATATTCCAATAGATATCTTAATAGCTCTTTCATCTGTAGGTTAAGTACAAATCAGATTTATTAATCCTGTTCTTTCTCTAACAATTCCATAGAAAAGTACATGTAAGACCATGCACTACAGAGCAGGGACTCTGTACTTTTGATTACTTAATTCCCGCTACTTACATGGTACCAAACTCCTACCAGGTTAATAAAATTCTGTTGGGTGAATAAATGAACTTAATATTGGGCTAATTGTACAAGTTCCCTTAGCATATCAGAAATAGGATAAAATGCATCAAGGTAACATTCATTACATATGCTCATTATATTTTTTCATTTGAAATGAAATTTTCCCAACATAGGAGAAATTAAACATCAAAATTTTTTCATGTCCATACTTCCATACTCTACAAGGTGCAAAGTCCTCTGCAAATGCTTATTTGTTTGAATTATTAATAGTAATGATATATTACCTACATATCATTTCACTGAGATCACACACAACCCTACATATTTCTCTTCTGGATCTGACATACAGTAGATGATCAATAAACATTTGCTTAAAAGGAAAAATCTACATACAAGAAAAGGATATTAAAAGTCCTGTTTCAGGTACCTAAAACAATGTAATAAATATGACTTTTACTCTAATTCACAACATGCTTTCTCATTTAGAATCTTTCTTCTCAACTAAGATTAATGAAGGCAGGAATTATGTTATTCCATCACTCTGTGTACTATAACACATAGACACAGAACATTTGCTAGTGAATAATGAATTTTTATCACTACCAGAGAAAACACAGATATAATTTATCTTATAGGGACTTCCCATAATCACCTCTGAACTTCTGAAAACATAAAAAGTATTAAAACATAAACAATAATTTGATCCTGTATGGAATTCTCAAAACTTAGCGAAAGATGCACCAGTGTGTATAAATACTTATTTGTATGAATTGGTAACAGTAATTCAGGAACAATGATACGGTCATGCACCAACAGACCTAATATACGACACTGGTCCTGTAAGATTAAGTCACCTCGTGACATTACCATCATAGCTTGCGTAAGTACAGTCTGTGACGTTCAAACGCTGCTGGAATCACCTAATGACACATTTCTTAGAATGTGACAAATAACTGTACTTTACAAACGGATATGCTTTCCACAGCTTTCTACTTTTAGCACTAGATACTTCCAAAATATCAACCTTCTTCCAAACTTTTATTATACAAGCTTATTCCACAATGGTTTCTAAATATCTCTGAAAACTCTGATTTGGAAATTTGCAGAGAAAAAAGAAACATATCTTTCAGCAAAAAATAGGTGTAAAAACATGCAATTCACACAAATGCCTAAGCAGGTAACATTTTTTAACAGTTGTTTGGATGGTTGATTTTAATTTACAGAACATTCGATTCCAAGCCAATTTTGCTTACTTCTGAATTAGCAATATACCCTTTGAAAACATACAGAATGTCAGGAAAGAGTTAAAAATTACTCTGATTATACCAAAGCTTTCTTATAGTCTCTTGGTTTTTCTTTATACTGAATAAATCACAAGATATTTGACATACTGAAATACTAAATTCACATTTTCTGTAGAAAAATGAGTGTGTCTTAAAACTCTACCTTCCCCTAAACAAGATAAGAGTCGGAGAACTCAAAAGGCTTCCATAGCCTTGGAAACTCATGACTGGAGCATAGGGAGATTACTGATGCCATAAACAGGAGTGTTAATTTGTAAAGTCAACAACAGGAGTCACTGTGCACTTACTCCTCATGTAGGATCTCTGTCCTTAATGTGCTGTACATTGTGATTTAATGCTATAACTAGTACTCAGTGTATTTCACTTTGTGTTTCTATGGGGGTGCAAACTGTTGAAATCCTTACTTAATGCATACTAAACTGATCCTCTGTAAAAAAAAAAAAAAAAAAAAAAAAAAGAAATTATCAATTCCCAACTTGACTCTCACTGGGATTAAACATGACAATAGGTCTGCTCTGATTTCATCATCATTTAAAAAATCATCTATTATTTTTCACTTTATGTTTCTGTGTGGGAGCAAACTGTTGAAATCTTTACTTAATGTATGCTAAACCGATCTTCTGTATATAAAGAGAATCGAAAATGAATCTTGATGTGAATGGAAGGGGAGAGGGAGTGGGAGAGGGGAGGGTTGCGGGTGGGAGGGACGTTATGGGGGGGAAGCCATTGTAATCCATAAGCTGTACTTTGGAAATTTATATTCATTAAATATAAATTAAAAAAAAATAAAAAGTGCATCTTATCAAGGCAATCAAAAAAAAAAAAAACTCTACCTTCCCAATAATAGAAGTGGAGTTCTCCTTTTTAACATCATTCTTTAGATCTTCCTTCTCATTACTTTGTTGGTATTCTTTGTGAATAGCTGGAGTTATATAAGGTTTGGTGATATTAAATAGTTCAGATCGAAAAAAGTATTTCTGTGTGAACATTTCACAATTTCCTCCAATATCATTCTGTGGCTTAGCAGTAGAGTCAGAAGCAATAAATGCAGCAGAGGCTCCAAACGAAGACATAGAATCCATTTGAAGAGAAGCCAAGTGGAGAGAAGTGGACTCATTTTTACTGCAACAAGGCTCATGAGGCTTGTGAATTTGATAGTTTATCTTGTTAAGGAAAGAAAGATGATCTAGTAACCACCCAGGTGACAACTGGTGTACCACAGACATTCTCTTCCTTTAAAAAAAAAAAAAGGGCTGAGAATTAGAAACAAAACCCAACTTTCTGGATCAAGTGAATTGTCCTGTATTTCAATAAACATATATTTCATATACACAGGCAGATCTGATCTGCAATTTTTTTTTTTTTTTACAGATAGAGTTTAGACAGTGAGAGAGACAGAGAGAAAGGTCTTCCTTCCATTGGTTCACCCCCTAAATGGCCGATACAGCCAGCGTTGCACCGATCTGAAGCCAGGAGCCAGGTGCTTCCTCCTGGTCGCCCATGCGGGTGCAGGACCCAAGCACTTGACCCATCCTCCACTGCCTTCCCGGGCCACAGCAGAGAGCTGGCCTGGAAGAGGGGCAACCGGGACTAGAACCCGGTGCCCATAAGGGATACCGGCGCCACAGGTGGAGGATTAGCCAAGTGAGCCACAGCGCCGGCCCAGCTTATTTTCATTTCATTTGAAAGGCAGAGACTTAAGAGACATATAGGCATCGTCCAAACACTGATTCCCTATATAAATGCCAGCAACAGCCAAGGCTGAGCCAGGTCAAAGCCAGGAGCCTAGACCTTAATCCAGGTCTCCCATGTGGTTGGCAGCAACACAAGCACCTGGGCTATCCTCTGCTGCTTCCCAGGGTGCACATCAGCAGGAAGCTAGAATCCAAAGCAAATTAGCAGGGACTTGAATCAGGCACTCCAATATGAGAAGACCCAATATGGGTGACCCACGCAGCAACTTAAGTGCTGCGCCATATTACTGCCTCCATTTTTACTTATTTATTCTCAGTTTACTTGAAAGGCAGAAACTCATTTTACAGTTCCGGATATAGCTTTCTAAATCTAATATACTGGAGAACTTAAGAAGTGGTAAATAGCACAGTTAGTAACTGCAGCACTTGAGTTCCAATATCTGATTCCCTGTATTAGCAGCATGACCATGGACTAGTTATTTGATCTCACTGAGCCTCAAAGTTGTTTTTTTTTTTCATGACATTTCTGTTTAGAGAACCAAATGAGACACTCCACATGCAATACAGTGCATCACGCCAGGCACGTTGCGCTTGCTCACATAAATGCTAATTGCCGCTACTGATGGTGATCCTGGTGATGCCGGGTCCCACCTCTCCAGTCACCACAAGGGGGTGAGGAGCCCCTTGCAATGGCTAGCGACATAGACATTCAGACGGGAAAACTGAAACTCGAACAAGAACGGCGACTTGCCAATCACTACAACTCCATCGTCGGCACAACTGTTGTAAGACAAAAGTATCTGGGTCTTCGCCCTGAACTCTTCTCCCACCCCCGACCCTCTCCTCTCCAGGTAACGGACAGTGCGTGTCTCTGGGTTCAAATTCAGGGGAGTCCCTACTCGACAGTGGTTGATGTGACCTCTCCTGCTTCTCCGCTTTGCATCCAGCTCCTAGTCCTTCCCAATTAACCCTGATTCTTCCTGGTCTCTTGCAGGCCACCCACCACTAGAGACCGAGAAACCCCGGACAGCAGTCACACCTGCAAACCGGGTCCCCGCGCGCGGCCACATCCACGCGGTCCTCGGAGGGGACTGCACCCACATTCACAGCCACCACCTCCGACCTAGCCGCGCCCTGCGTCAGAAAAGGGCAGGCCTCCTTCCCAAGGCTCTCACCGCCAAAGGGTCTGCAAGCCGCCACTTTCGGGGCAAAGCAAAACAGATTTCTCCTCTAAGAGTCAACGGTTGTACGGAAAAACGTTTCCCGGGCGGCTCAGCTCTAAAGCCGCTCCCTGGCGACGCAGAACCCTCGAAACTTCGGAGCCAACTCTCGGGTCCGGCCAGACTTCGCAGGGGACACTTACACTGGCCCACAGACGCCAGTGTGTCCGCGAGGCGGCGGGCGGCGACCTGCAAGCAAATCCCGGAAACAAGGGACGGGTCCCGGAGTGTTGCGCATGCGTGAGCACGTCGTGCGCGTGACGTCAGCTCCGGCGGAGATTTTAAAATTCAAACCGCACAGGCGGGCGGAGGAAGCTCTGTTTTTGGCGGCTGTTCCCACTTTTAGCGGAGTGTCACACAGTTTACAGAAGTTCGGCGCGTGAGTCGTGTCAGGAAGCTGGAGGGAAGGTAACTGATGACATTGCGGTGGCGTTGGTACTGCTGGGCGGTTCTGGCGGGACACGGGCTGCGGGTTAGTGTTTATGGTTGGGAGAGGTGCTGTTGGCATAGGGTCCGATAAATTTCCGCTCGCAACGTACTCTCAAGTGAGATGGGGGTGCCTAGGAAACCCAGATGGAGAGAAGAGAGGCTGGAGCGAGGGGAGGGGAAGAACCAGAGAGGACCTGTTTGTTATTGAGTGTTGCGTTTGGGTGGCGGCCCTGAACGGGGTCCGTCTAGAAATCTTAGCCTGGAATCTTGAAAGTACGTTTACAACGGTGCGTGGAGACTGGGAGGGGCGTAGGAGTGAGAAAGGGAAGGATGAACAGATGAACCAGCATGCACTAAAAGGAGAAGAAATAGACGGAGAAACAAGAAGGGTGCCCAGGGAAGGAGCGGGACTGCCACACAGATGTCCGCTTCGCAGACGCCAGGGAAGCCTCTTGGGTAGTGTCTGACGCTGCAGAGGCAGGATGGAAAGGCTCGTCGATTCTGAGTGTCCTGGGAGACAGCCTGTTGAGTGGGTGTGAAGGGAATGAGATGTTAATGAGTTTTGAAAGTAGGGTCAGCCCTAGACCATTTGGTGGATCCGGTGATTTTATACTTGTTGGAGAAGAGGTTGACGCCAGAGGACGGTAATTGACTATAAACCAGGAGAGAGTGGGTTGAGGACATGCAGGAGAGGTTGGCATTATCAAAGAAAACAGGATAGCTCCTTTCTTTGAAACCAAAAAAAAGGAAAGATTTTTAAGTGTATAAGGGAACTTGAGATTTATTCTCAGGCTGCCTCCAACTTCTCACTGAGATAGGCACATGCAGGGTCCACTGCTATGACATAGCTGCTTGGCCAGCATCCCATATGGGCACTGGTTCAAGTCTCAGCTGCTACACTTCCGATCCAGCTCCCAGCTTGCGCCTGGGAAAGCAGTGGAAGATGACCCAAGTGCTTGGGCCCCTGCACCTACGTGGGAAACCCCCATGAAGCTCCTGGCTTCAGTCTGGCCCAGCCTTGGCCGTGCCGTTGTGGGCATTTGGGGAGTGAACCAGCAGATGGAAAACTCTTTATGCCTCTGTCTCTCCCTCTCTATAACTCTACCTTTCAAATAAATAAATAAATGTAAAAGAAAAAAAATAGGCACTTGTGTCGCTCCCCCTCTTCACGGAGGAACGACACAGGACCCTGCCTAGGCTTCCTATCCGAGTCACGGCACCATTATGTCGCTCCCCCTCTTCATGGAGGAACGACACAGGACCCTGCGCTGTTCTTTCGTCTGCTCGGCCCTCCCCGGGTTTGCTGCTGGTTCTTCCCGGGTTGGCTACCGTCCCTTCCACCTCCGTGGAAGGGCGGTTCCCCCTGCCACTTTCCCCACTTCCGCGGGGGAGCGGCACACCGCCGGCCGGCTCTCTCGGGGGCTGCACAGGTATTCCCTCAGATGTTCCCCTTAGATGTTCCTGGTGCATGTTGTCTCTCTCCTCCTTTATAGTCCTCTTCCACCAATCCCAACTCTGCTACCCACACGCCGAGTACGCTGCTCTCCTCCAATCAGGAGCAGGTCCTGCTGTTTATTGGTTGAACTGGAAGCAGCTGTGTAGAAGCTATTTTCTCCTCTCCCAGCGCCATATTGTGGGAGAGCAGATGCATAGAATAAGTCTTAATTCCAGTAACTTAGTCTAGTCCGAGTTGCTCCCCACAACTTGCAACAGCAATGATAAGATAGGGCTTAATATTCAGGACTTTTTATCCCATGGATACCTTGTGAAGGCCAGAATCATACTTTATTCATCTTTGTATCTCCTGCATTGCCTAACACACTCCCTTATACATGGTGGGCATTTAGTAAATGTTTATGTATATTGAATATCTTGGGACACCCACAGCCCATATTGGAGTCGTGACTCCAATTCCAGCTTCCTGCTAATGTGCACCTTGGGAAGCGGCAGGTGATGGCTCAAGCACTTAGATCCATGCCACCAACGTGGAAGAGCCAGGTTGATTTCCAAGCTCCTGCCTTCAGCCTGGCCCAGTCCACACAGATGGGCACTGAGAGAGTGAACCAGGGGATAGAACATTCCTCTGTGTGTGTGTCTCTCTCTCTTTCTCTTCCTCTCAAATATTTTTTTAAAGATTTATTTTATTATTTATGTGAAAGAGAGAGAAGAAAGAGAAGTCTTCCATCCCCTGGTTCACTCCTCAGATGACTGCAATGGCCAGAGCTGCATCAATCCGAAGCCAGGAGCCAAGAGCTTCTTCCAGGTCTCCCATGTGGGTGCAGGGGCCCAAGGACTTGGGCCATCTTCTACTGATTTCCCAGGCCACTGCAGAGAGCTGAATAGGAAGTGGAGCAGCAGAGACTAGAACCCGCGCCCATGTGGGATGCTGGCACTGCAGGCGACAGCTTTGCCCACTACACCACAGCGTCGGCCCCAGCTCTCAAATATTTTTAAATGAAGTTTAACAGATGTCCTTTGTAAATGAGGCCTTTAGGTGCATGAACAAAGAAGATAGCCCATGAGAAGTGTTACCTTGATGAAATAGTGAAACTTGGCTGCCTTTATATTTCAGAATAAAGATAAAATTTTTCTAATATTTTATTCTTGACTATCGGTCATAGCCATGAAGCGCAGCTCAGTTTCCACTGGTGGTGCTGGCCGCCTCTCTATGCAGGAGTTACGATCGCAGGACCTCAACAGACAAAGCCTTCATACACCTCAGACGTAAGTACCTCCACCTGGGGTTCTCACTGCTACCTTATGTTCTTGAGTAAAGAAATGGTAAAAATGATTAATCAGAGATACAATATGAGTGATATCCTCGTGAGTCCTGTCTGTTCCCAGTGGTTCCTGATTTAGGGCCAATGAAGTCTGAAAGTGGGCATACTGTTAAGTATCGTGTGTCATCTCATTTGTTTTTTAAATCCTCAAAGCCTACTGCTTTACCAGGTGCCTCCTTAGAGGACTGTTGATTCCCTTTCAGCCTTCCTCTCCTTTATAAATCCTAGAGCTATATGGTTGAGCAGGCTCTGTGCTGTACCTTTCAGTTTACTGAGGTGTTTCCAACTAGCAAAGTTCTAAAACCAGCTGATAAGCTGTAATGTAATTGCAGCCTAAGAACACCACTTCTCCAAACTATTTCCTCATGATTCACTGGGGGAAAGTGTCCAAAAGAACTTGCTATCATAAACTGCAGTTTCTCCCTATGAGTGAATTTCTTCCAGTTAACAGAAAGCTATTTGAAAGCCACTAAAAAGTTATATAAATCCTCTAATACTAAGGTAAAAGTTACTTGTGAATTTTTCTTAAATTACTTAGGTTTATATTACTAGTATGAGCCTCTGCTACTTTTAGAAATTTGAAATAGTTTTCCTTCTGAATACTTTAAACAGAATTTGTTGTACAACTGCACATCACTTAAACCAAAAGATTTTATGCTTCAAATTGCATTACAAGTTGAAAGCTTACTAGTGTAATTTTTTGTCTGTAATTTAGATAATGAATGTGAAGTACAGCTACATTCTGAAAAAGAGCAGGCTTTAACCACCATCTTATAACTGAATGTATCTGTTCATATTTTTCTTTTTCCTTAAAGTTATTTTCATCAATTTATATATTTAATATAAAATCATAGAATTAAATCATTAATATTAAAATTATTAAAATGTATATATTTTAATAATGTGTTTTTTAGCATTGTAACTTATGCTATCTTTTAGCCCATCTCATGTATATCAGATATGGTTGCTGCTAAAAATTTTTAGGATTTGAATGATTTTTTTAGGGAACAGAGAAGAAATATTGGTTCCAATATATTTTCCAAAGTTTCTGAACTAGCTTTATATATATATATATATACACATATACATATACATATTGAAGACTTGTTTGTTATTTTTCTTAAAGCAAAGAGAAACCAACCTTTGGAAAGTTGAGTGTAAACAAACCCACATCCGAAAGAAAAGTCTCCGTGTTTGGTAAAAGGTAATGATATTTTTTATTAGTTCTAATGAAAGAATTCCTATAGCCATGCATTGATACCCTGAGAGAACAAAAAATTAGATAACATAGTCCCTTTCAAGAAAAGTTACAATCTAATTTTCTTCTATTTTAAAAGGTTAAAGTTTTATGTTATATCTCTTGTAGATGGTATTAAGAAGTATATTTGGTTCATTTCTCAAAGGCCTGGAACAACCAGAGGCTGGGGTGGGCTAAAGCCAGGAGCTGAGAACTCAGACTAGGTCTCAAAGTGGTATGGCAGGAACCCAGTTGAACTATCACTGCTGCCTCCAAGGTCTATATTATAGCAAGAAGCTGAAGCCAGGAGCCAGAGTCAGGTATCAAACCCAGGTATTCCAGTGTAGGATACAGGCATCTTCACTAGTATCTTAACCACTAAGCTAAATGGTGGCTCCTGAAAGAGCTTTTGTTTTGTGAGCCATATCCATTGAAATTAATTGTATTAGAAATTTAAACTTGAAATAATGTATATAATTTAAAATAGCACACATCAGCCCCAAAAATTATTTTTCATTTTAAAAAAATTTTCATAAGCATTCTCAGTGAGAAGAGTGACTTTACAGCATGGATGGGGAACAGCCAGCCCAGAAGCCATAAAGGGCCAGCGAAATCATCTGGTCTGGCCCTGCCAAGGCAGCTGCAGGCAGAACTTAAAATTCAATAAATATATATAAATATATGGGAGGCTAATTTTCAAGTTGATAATTTTGTATGACCTGCGACTGATGTTATAAACATCCAAATGATGTTTCACAGAAATACTTTCCCCACCTGTTTTACAGTTTTACGAAGCTCTTTAATGTGTAGCTT